GCTCGGCCATGGGGACACCTAGGATTGCTATATGCAAAAGATCATCACCATGGCACAAGGGAAGTATCCCATAAGAGCTCCGTTCTACTTCTAACTCAAGCCTGAGTCCAAAAAATGTCAGCGCAGTGTACGAACTCCGTAGCACCGGCAAGGATCCTGAAATACTTTGAGTAAATTTTGAACTCTTATATTTGCCTGGACAGCGCCATTTGGCTACTCTTTTCGATTTCTAACTGCAAAGTGATTCTTTACGGGCGCAACAATACACACGGGCGTCCGATCTTACTACCGTGAGACCAGGGAAAATTATTAGAAGTACACGTGACAAAATCCCAGTCTTCACAGGAGATAAACCCAGGACCTCCAGCACTCGAGGTTGACGCCATGCCCTTGTACACTCAGTTCCCCCCAACTTTGTATCAGGTTACATTTTATGTTTAACATCCACAGATTTTCTTCTAACGTTATGTAAAAGCTTCATTTATTTTGTATTTGTATATTTGTATTGCTATCTGTTCTCCTATCTTTGCGTACATCGCTGTTTGCTAAATAGTTATATGGCTTCATCTCTTGAAACTAGCTACTAATTGAACAAGACAACTAATTCTAAAATGAGACCCAAAAAATTAATATATGCACGGAAACAGTAAATAATAAGCATATAGTGAATTGTTTCCTGAGTTAAAGAGATAATGCAGGAGTTAAACAGTTGCAATTTGAATATGTTACCTCGATACCTTGTAATATCTTGGGAAGTAAAGGCGCCCGGTGTCATGTTGAACACATCAGCCACTGAGTGTCGATTGATCTACAGTCTAACATGGAATGTCCATGCCCCTCGTTAAAAAAAGGTCCCTTACTTTCTGAAGATATGAATATGCCTCACTAACAAATTCTCATGCATCCCTAGTTTTTACGCACGGTGTTGCAAGACTTAAAACAATAAAACATGCAGAATCTAAGTAGCATGAAAAATACAACACGGTGTATATTAAGTATGATTGACACATCAGCACAATAAAACATCTCTTATTACCTACAGTCAAAAGCCCTGCTAATTATAACAATCAGTGCTATTTATCACATGCAGTACTATTTATCCCATGCAGTACTATTCATCACATGCAGTACTATTTATCACATGCAGTACTATTTATCACATGCAGTACTATTTATCACATGCAGTACTATTTATCACAGGCAGTACTATTTATCACAGGCAGTACTTTTTATCACAGGCAGTACTATTTATCACATGCAGTACTATTTGTCACAGGCAGTACAGAAAGCATCCCACAGCCGAATATGCTTCACATGATGTACAGAAAGCATTCTATAGCCTCATGGTTAACTCCAAACATGTCTAATTCTTAGTAGCCTACAGACAGCGGTGCAGTTCCGACAATAACTGTGATTGCAGATTCAGGATTATTCGTACACAGTTAAAAGAACGCTGATTTAATATTAATAATAATAATAAAATAATTAATAATAATAATAATAATAATAATAATAATAATAATAATAATAATAATAATAAGAAGAAGAAGAAGAAGAAGAAGAAGTTAAACAGGTGTCATCTCCATAATACAGTTTTGCTATAACGGGTCTCCAAATTGTTTTGCTCTGCGTCTTCACAGTGCTTTTATAAAGCTTTCTTCGAATACATTTGTTATCAGTCGCCCACCCACATATAACGTTGTCTTCCTATTGCATTCTTCCATCAACTGTATCTCAACCTGTAACATAACTTTGATCTTACTCAGTAATCAAGATTAAAAAAGGATGATTAAAGTAAGAGCTTCAACCTTTTTCTAAACAAGCTGTTTGTCTCCGCAGATCGCCTAACTACGTGCTGACATTTTCGCACTGAATACGACAGAAGTAGCTCAAGGTAAAATTCCTGATTTACTGAGAATTTGTTTACTGAACCACAAAGGCTGAAGACGAACCAATAACCTCCAGAAAACCAACTGACCAGTTTGAATACACGAAATGACCAGTCTGAATTCCGACACACAGACACCCTTCCTTCTTTCTAAACTTTCCTCAATTTGTTAAGGTTTTCCTGAATCCCAGTTTTGATTACACTTGTTCTTAATTTAATATCTTTCCTGTCGTTGTATAATTCGCGTCTGTGTATAATCTGTGTCCTGCTCCTCAGTTTTTAAATATATACGTCTAAATACAACACCATTTCCTGTTCAACTCAGTTTGCCTTATGAATTAGAAAGAAAACATAGTCTCATAGAATTTCAGATGCAGACAGTAAATGCTAGATGATTTAACTGTAGTCGCATAAGGAAAAGAAAAAGAATTCATCGCTAAAGAGAAAAATGGCAATTTAGACAAGTAACTGAGAAAAGAAAACTTAATACAGATGGCAGTCCATTTTTTTTTTAACTTATTAAACTCTTATATCTATGAGAAATTAGTTATGCCCCACTATTTCTTTATATTAATCTCCACTAAAGTTATTTATTGAAACAAATAATCAGAAATGTTACTCTCAAATCGTATAAACGAAGAAAAACAATTGTCTGACCTTACATGTGTCTCAAAATGTGTGCGTTGTTTTCCCTATTCTATACATGTTATGAAACGCTAACACCACTGAATAAAAGATGGCGTTCGTTTGAGTTAGCAGAGTTAAGATCCGACATCATTAACTCTCGTAAAATGTACAGAGGGTCTCCGTCCGCACATTAAGCAGCTAGCATAACGCTCTAATTCCGATGGTACCAGTCTGACTATGTTTGTCTTAACTTTTCATTGACTCTAGAGTGACAGACGGATCTCCTATTCGCTCCGTGATGCACGATTCTCTTCAGACCGTGATGTTCATTATGAGATTCCGCACTGCTCACTCGCTCCTATAATGCCATGATAATATTCAGCTTTTGATGTATCATTTTACCACTAAGTGTTGCAGAATCTGTTATTTTTTTACCCCAGCACACATGTGTCCTGTGCACAGGTTTCAGGAGAATAACTGCCGGGAGTTCTTATTAAGAGATGCCGGCCACTTTGCGCGTAGCGTGTATTCGCTTTATCTTTCTGAGCATGCTTCTGAAGTTAGTTACGACATGTATGAGCTGCTGGTTCACAAGCCAAGAAGAGGCTGATATGACTGTCTCAATCTAGTTCACTGATTTCAGAATATGTATCATAGAACAATGGGCATAGCTATGGGTGCTCTGTCTCCCGCAGCAATGTCATAAGACGCAGATGCTAACTGATTACAAACTGGTCGTTCTCTTCCACGTGTCCCTCCTTGCCCGACCACATCTGATTCCTCCTTCGTTCATACCTCAACTTAGAGGTTGCACAAATTGTCATTTCAACTCTGTGTGTGTGTGAGTGTGTGTGTGTGGACACAGAGAGGAGAGAGAGAGAAAGAGGGAGAGAAACAGAGAGAGAATACAGGTGCAGAAGGTCAAGAAGTTCGTACTCTACACACTATCCAGGCATTACAGTGATATACAGTCAAAGCTGTGATAAGATGATTAAGAAACATAATCATATTGAACACATGTTTTACTATCAAAATATAAATACAACAGAAATAAAAATCTGCTTCCTGAAAAGATGTGCGTTTGAGTTATTTTGTAAAGAAATCTTGACATTCATAAATGACATTATCGGACGACCGATGTTGTTTATGATGTGTTTTTTTGTTTTTTTTTTTTTTTTGGTTTTAGGAATCTAAACAATATTATAGAAAGACATGATAGCGTTAATAATATTGTTGATTAGAAAGAGTTAAGAAACTCCAAGACAAGACAAGCAGAGACACGGAAAGATCATGTAGGGACAGTTTATATAATAAATCCATACCTCAAACGATCATTATACTCTAGGTTATGAATCAATTTAAGAGGCGAGAAAGAGAAAGTAGTCATGTGCATAATATGCATTGAAAAAAAAAGACATATAGAAAATATGTAGAAAGCTTAAAAATATTGAAAACCAAATGATAATGGGACAAATTCAAGCTTCGTTTGAAAAAAAAAATCGCCTGAGCAAAATAGGGAGTTTTGATTTTGGTTTTCTGGATCAGGTATATGAAGAAGTATAATGAGTAGGGGACAAACCAATGCCTGCGTGCATGTATAATTAAACGGAAGGCAGAAAAGATAAACACAGAATTCAGTTGATACTTTAAGAAATCTCGCAAAACATAGACTGTGCAGTTTAACTGTTTTTTTCACTCACGGTCTTATTTGTTTTTAACTAAATTTCGTCTGTCGCATTCACGGAAAGATGGATCACGAATACAACGATACTCTGTTTCAGCGCATGCAGGGACACCGACACAAAGAAAACATTGGGGGTCTTAGAAGGGGGCAGCGCTCAGTCCGCTTACATATTTTTGAAAGTCAGGAAGGTGGAAGGGGGAGGGGTGTGTGAGGTGGGAGCCATACCAAGAAAACCCATGGCTTAAATAAGTGAAAATTATTCATAATAATAATAATAATAGTAATACAAATAATGTGCTGAACGGTATATAAATATAATAAGATATCTTAACTCGAAGCCGCTGTGATGTAGCGGCTAGGCGCTCCACCGCGGATCTGAAGATCGCGGGTTCAGACCCTAACTGAACTTGACCTTGTCTTCCAGGTCTCCCCAGCCGTCAATGGACACCAGGTAAAGTCATGGGAAGTAAAGACGGCTGGCGTGGTGGTGACCACTTTACTCATCGAGTGCTGATTGGTCTATAAATATATATTTATAGATCTAGCCATACATGCCTAAGATGCCTTAAGGCGTAGAATTTGATATCTTATTGTTTTACGAGCATAAATAAAGCGATAATAATTGTGTTACTAAATCTTGTAAAAGAAACTTGTATACATGATTAGGACTGACGCTCTTATCCCCAGTGTCCCTCTCCCTTTCAAGGTGCTTTAACCCCAGCCTCCAGTGATACTGAATGTATGTCATATCGTATTCAACTGCAATCCATACTTTCTGCGAGCAACGGTAGAGTGACTTACCAGCTGTATCCAGATATTGGTGTGGATTATCTGGCTCTTTTCATCCTGGCAATAAGAAGACAAGCAATGCCTGAATATGTAGCAGGTCGACAGTATCACTCAGGGACATGCAACTTGCTCGACAGTATGACTCAAAGACATGTAGCTTGGTCGATAGCATCACTTAGGGAGATGTAGCTTGGTAAACAGTATCACTCAGGAAGATGTAGCTTGCTCGACAGTATCAGTTAGTGTACCCTCCCCCCCCCCCCTTTACCCAAATTCCCCCTGCCCCGGGTTGATAGAGTTGAAACAGTTTATTTCTTTGATCATTCATTGACTAATAATTTTTATCCCCCTAAAACAAAATAGAATATACAGTAACTGGCACATGAGTGGAGATATTTGTAAATTAGAACACATGTGCAGTGATGCATGGGGATTGTTTATAGCCTATCCTGCATACAATGAAAAATCCATAACTCATAGAAGACAAACAATAGAGATGACCCCTAAGAGTGAAATGCCTATAAGCGCCCTACAATGTAATGTTGTGAAAAGTTCCCGTTAACAGCTGTCTGTAAGCATGCTGAATGTTTTAAATGAGTGTCATATTTTTTTTTTTATACCACATATAAGGCAAAATGAAAACTATATTTATTTAACATTTTTTAGTTTTGCTGAATACTCACAACGACATGATTATTAATACGCTGTATGCCCCATTTCAACACCTTACACAGAACTTTTACTGGGTTATAGATTTTTATAGTTAGGCATGATTTTTGAAACAGACTATAGTTGAGGGTACATACCCACCTCTATTGTGGATACGATACATATTTTATGACTCAGGAACGCTGTGTAAATCACTGCCTAAACATGTAGTTCGGTCGACCCAAAGAACTTGTGGAAAGCGCTGCTAGAAATGTTAGTAAACAATGGATGTTTGGCCAGGTCTCAAACGGCAAGGTCAGGTTAAACCTCGTGACCACACTCATTTTGTTTTTGACAGTTTACGAAGCGTGTGGAAATATTTTCTCTGTGTCTGCGTGCCTGACAAAAGAATACGGGTTATGAATGTGTTTGATGATTGAATACTCGGTAGCTCATTAGCACTGATGGAAGATTACAAGTGGCCACAGAGAGCTGGCGAGGGCTTGGGCGAGACATGAATAATAGAAAGAAAGCTAAAAATTAGAGGTAGTTAAAGAGTGTGTCCTTAGAGAGAAACAGAGAGGGAAGAATAAGAGAATATAAGAAAGAGGAGAGAAAAAAATGATGGAGAGCTGTAACGGGGGAAAGAGGATCATAACCAAACCAAAAGCGAGTGAGAAAGGTCAATATATTGGAGAAGAGGGGAAGTTGAAAGGAGAGAAGAGGACTGAGACAAAAAGACGTGCCACAGGTGAATAGTTATAAGGAGAGCAAAATCCGGAGACACATAGAGGTTTGAAGTTTGAAGTTTGAACAACGAATCAACATCATAGCACACGGAGAGTAACCCATAAGCGCTACGTTCTCTAGTTCTAACTCAAGTCTTGAGTCAGAAGAATCTCAGCGCAGTGCATGAGCTCTGTAGCACCGGCGATGATCCTGAAATACTTTGGGTAGATTTTCATTCCAAATTTTGCCCAGACAGCGCCGTTAGGCTACTTTTTTTAAAATGTATTTACAACTTCCAAGGGATTTTTTTTTACGTGCGCAATAATACACATGGGCTTCCGATCTCACTACCCAGAGACCATGGGGAAATTATTAGAAGTAGTGTGGGACCCGGGCTTGAATCGGGAATCCAGCCCTCAAGGCGGACGCCGTGCCTCGAGACCATGAAACCCGTTGATACACATAGAGAGAACCCAGAAGCTGAGACAGTTTGGCTGACAGGCAGACATGATTGTAGACAGGCAGACAGGCGAGCAGGCTGTTTGGAAGGTAGGCGGGTCAGACTGACATACCCACAGGCAGACATATGGATCAATTGATTGGTGAAAGAAGAGCGAGTTTGAATGCGAACGTTCACTTTAAATTAACATAGTAAATGCTCCCAAAAAGAATGAATTCATTCCTCGCCCCAAAGACTACATTTCCACAAATTAGCCTTAAAAAGATAATTTAACCATTAATCTTTTGTTCGCAGTTTTTCCCGACATTTTAACAGAATAAATAATTATTGTTCTTTTGCTTCAGATTTGAAATTTTACAGTTACATTAAGTCGTCGTAGTCTGTGTCTTTCCTGGACAGATAGTTTTTATTATCATGGGTCAAACATTCCTCATGGTCTTATCTGACCATTGGTCACAAATCGGACAAACTTTGATTCTGCAACTGAGTTCTATAGATTAGAATTGCACAGATGTAACCGTTTGAATTGTTAGTAGTACTAGAAAAAAGCTCTCAAAAGTGTGACACGCCACATTAATGTGTCGGCTACAGTGTGAAGGTTTGCTTCCACCGACTAATGGGCAAATTGTATGATCCAGACTGTATGGAAACCTTTGGTTATGTTTATTTAAAAAGAGTGTCACTCACATCAAAAGTTTTGAAAGCTCTGTACTAAATAAATTGTGTTAAGAAGCATGTTTATTCACGTCGCAAAATACCCAAAAACAATCCAGTCATCTCGTTGTGAGATGCAATTTTTGGTTATTTTGAAGCCCAACCCTGGCTCTTGCTGGGGCCGCAGTATGGCCCGACCATAAATAGGGTTTAATGGCTGAACGCAATTTCTGGGACCTCTCCACGGGTTATCCTCATCCGCATGGTAGCACTTTGTGTCATCGGGTGTTTATCGCTTGTGTGAGGTCCTAGTGGAGTATGAAATCTACTCTACTGGGCAAAAAATGTGATGAAAATGATGATGGGGAGGATTTTAGAAAAAGCTAACAAACTCAAAATCTTCCCGTTAATAAAAACTTTGATGTTTTAATGTCAAGTTTGATATCGCAATATCAAGTTAACATTGAAAACTTGAGACGATTTTCAAATCAGAATTGATGGGAAACGACGGCTTAATATCATATAGCATAGTTTGGACAGATATTGTCCTATCTGAACTCAAGTGCTGCTGTAGTACCACTCGTATAAGGCAATAACAGTGCATAGTCTGCTTCAAAATCTTGAGAATAAAACATTTTCTGAAGAAGTGTCTGGTCGAGCGGTTAGAAACGTTGACCTCTCATACGGGAGATCTGGGTTCGTATTCGTATGATAGGCGGGTTTTTGGTTCTCTTTTGTCTAGGGCTCCTAAGGAAGATGAAAGAGCACTTGTGGGAATGTAGCGAGTGTACTGTGTCAAATCTTGATTTAATCACTATATAAAAGGCATCATTCGTGTAAAAGTCTTTTGGCGAAAGGATTCTTCACCCCTATTATCTTTCTTTATGCGTTGTCTTGAGTTCATCCTAAAGCTGGTCGAATCCTGCCAATTCTTCCATAAACTAGGTCTTCCATTGCTGATTTTTCAATTCACTGTGGCTTTTAAAGTAACCGAAACTATGTTTTTACACTCCTAATCAGAGCACATTCTTGAATCACATGCTTGTTCAGTCCTGCCATGCAGAAGCCTCTCCGGGTTTTCTCTCATGATTGTTTCCATAAAGATTTGTTTATTATGTATTTTATCTTGGCCTCAAAGGGGACATAGACTTTATTCATTATCTTTTACTCACAGGACAGACAATCACGTTAGTGTGTTAGTTTTCGACACATGTCCATTATTAATGTCGTTTTCTTCTGCGTTTAGTCCTTGCAGACATACATGTGTATCCCTCAAGACAATTAGTGTTCAGAAAAATTGTTACATTCAAGTTCAGACACTCCTTTGTTTTGTTTTTCTGAATGGTCTGTTATACAAATTCCCATATTACACCATGCACTGGCAGCGAATAACAGCTATAAAAATAATCAACCGTTTACGAAATGTTCAAAGTATTAAGAGGGACGTACAACGGTGTACTGTCATTTGTTTCATCTAATTTGTTTTCATTCTGCAGCATCCTAAACAAAAGACTTGAAAAAACGTTAGTCCCCCCCCCCCCCCCCCCCCCCCACCCAAAAAAAAAAAAAAAAAATAGGTCTACCTCCATCTAACCTTTCGAGGGGACGATATTGTGAAACGTCTTTACAACCGGCTCAAAACAGGTCAGTCAAACTTTCTAGGCTGCTTTGCTTATTGCCAGGTTTAAAACGACCCCGTGCTAACGCCTTAGGTGAAACAACCAGTGTTGATGTTCTCTAGATCAAGTTGTATTTACCAGTCATTATTTTTAACTATGTTATGAGTAGAGGCGAACTGAAAAGTGTAGTTACCACTGGAAAATTGTGTGCAAAATGAGGAAGACAACGTGATATAGAGGAAGAGAACGTGACATATATGAAGACAACGTGACATATACTAAGACAACGTGATATAGATGAAGACAACGTGGCATCGCGGAAGACAACGTGACATCGAGGAAGGCAACATGACATAGAGGAATGCAACGTGACATAGAGGAATGCAACGTGACATAGAGGAAGACAACGTGACATAGAGGAAGACAAAGTGAGAAGGCTCTTGGTAGCCTTTTGTCATGGCATTCATGGTTGTCAACACATGAACCGATACAAGCTGCTGGAGATCACAAGTTAGTAAAAGACATGATCGCCCACGCCAGTCGGAACAGTACGCCCACAGTACTGTTTCAATTACCTAGGTGCCGATTCTATAATAAATATTAGCTGCAATGAATCTCCATCACGCACTGCCTCTTATCTTGGCTGTACACTCTCAGGCTGCTCTTCGCCCATCTCTTGATGCTATCCTCCCACTTGTAACGTTGTCTACCTCTTCATTGTTTGCCCTCCACCCTTTCCTTCAATATGGTTTTTTAAAGCTTTTTATATCTTTTAATGCACCCAAATTATTTCAGTTGTCTCCTTTTTATTTATTATAGTAATTAAGAGAATTTATGTGGCCACTTTTTGTTTTTTTTCCCGAACAAACTCCAATTGTTTATGAGGTTTCTGACTTGGAAATTTGGTAACCATTGGTAACTGATCTTTTTCTTAGTCTTAGATATCA